CATGGTTCCAGCCCAAGAGACTTGGCTGCACTTAGTAGGGTAGCTACAGATTAAAATTTTAGGTTTCGGGCGGTTTGGTTTGGGTTTAACAGGGGTCTCGTTTGGTCTGTTCTCTCTCTCTCTCTCTCGCTCTGTCTCGCTCTCTTCCTTTTTCTGGGGGGGGGCAGGGGGGATAGGTTTCAGGGTCTAGGCCTAGGGTTAGGGTTGGAGTTGCGTAGGGCGTAGGGTGACAGAGCCGTCCTCGGCAGCTAGCCAGTTGGCAACGAGGTCTTCCAAGGACAGGTCATCCACCTTGGGGACTTTAGGATTTGGGGGTTTAGGGTTTAGGGTTTGGGGTTTGGGGTTTAGGGTTAGGGTTTAGGACAAGGGTTTTGGGTTTTGGGTTTAGGGTTTAGGGTCTAGGGTTTAGGGTTTAGGGTTCAGGGTTTAGGGTTTACAGTTTACGGTTTAAGGTTTAGGGCTTAAGGCGGGCGAATAGAGAAACAAAGGCCTTTGTGAGCACGCTTTAGTCTGCAGAGCTACCGCCCCCAAGTCTCATGGAGTCAAGGCCCTTTTTTTTTGCAAAGCAACGCGTGCTCTTGACACAAGGTGGTTTACACGAACTTGATATGAAACTCTTCACTGAAGCCACCTGTGAGTTGTGTCACTGAGTGTGTCACACCGGTGACTTGGAGCCCTTTCTGGGGTCGCTTGGGTGCAGACTTGGGACACTTGCAATTTTTGAGAGAACTGGGAACAGTTGGTTTACTTGGATCACTTGGGTCACTTGCGACATTTCGGCCGCTTGGACCACTTAGGATGTGTGGCACACTTTCGTCACACTGGGAAGATTTGCGTTGCTTGGGTACTGTCAACACTTCATGCGCTCGGTCAGTTGAGGCACTCGGGTCACCTGCGTCACTGGGGACACTTGGGCCACTTGGGTCACTTCCAACGGTGTGTGCAAGGTTCGCTGGGGGCACGCGGGTCATGTAAGTCACTTTGTGACACTCAAGACGCACTTGAGATCTTGGTGTCACTTGGATCAGAACACTGGGGATCTTGGGGTCACTTAGGACACTTGGAGCACGTGGGGGGCACTGGGTTCACTTGGTGACTTGGGACACGTAGGTCATCTGGATTACTTGGGACACTTGGGTTACTGTGGGGCACTGGCACTGGGGACACCTCATTCATGGGGCGCTCATGTCACCTAGACGCCAAGTCACTTGGTGCAGGGTTGTGACTCGTAGGACGGCACACTTGGTTCACTCGGCCACTTGGCACACTTGCGTCACCTGATCACTTGGGGCACTTCGGGGCACTGTAGCTGGGAACACCTCGTTCAAGTCGACACAACCAAGCGCCGGGTCAGCTAATCATATAATGCAGTGACAGGAGATTTGGCCAGCCTGGAGCCGGCTCGGTCGCCTGCCTGCTCGCCATCGCAGGATCTCGCTGAGCGACCAGCGCCCACAGACGCCAACAGAGAAGTGAGTGGGATGGCGGGCGGGCATGGGGTTTCGTGTTTAGGCTGTAGGGTTTCGGGTTTATGGGCCAGACTCGAAGGTGATGATGAAGGGTTTCTGCGCGTTCGTGTCTCCTTTGCTTTGGGGGGGGGGGGGCACGAAGAGCATTGGAGGAGGCCTCCTGGATTCCCCACGAGCTCTGAGGGTTCAGGGTTACTTTCGCAGGGGAAGGCCCTCCTGATTTAATGGACCCTTATCCCAGAAACCCACTAATCACGATAATCCTCACTAACCTCAAGCCGAAACCCTAAGCCAAGCCCGAAACCCCAAACCTGAACATCTAAACCTTACATCTGAACCCCAAATTCTACACCCTGAACCAACCGCTTGGCTTCTGGAAACCCGCAAGATCTCAAGTCCCCTGAAAGCCCACAGACTTGCCAACACTGGGCCGGCCCGCCACCCGAGTGGCTCTCTTAAGTGTGGAGATGCCCAGGGCCTTCAAGGGGGGTTTTGAGGTTTCAGGCTTTAGGCTTGTAGGAACTTAGGGTTTAAGGGTTTAGGTGGTTTTGTTTGTTCTTTTTGGTGGGGGGGGAAGGGGGGGGGGGGTTAGGGGGGGGGTTGTGAGTTTTTGTCTTCGGGTGTAGGGCTTTGGGCTTCAGAGCGAGCGTGGCCTTGCGACCTAGACCTGTCCACCCTGATGATGCTCTTTTCGGGCCTGGGGGTTCCACCAGCGAAGGCTCGAGCAATTCGGTGTCCCGAGGGAATTTTCTGAGGCGTAAACGATATTGCTAATAGCATATGTCTGGGTTATTGCATTCGTATATTGTTATACTGTTGTGACATTTTATGATATTGTTGCATTGTTTTATACACCCCAAACCCCAAACCCTAAACCCTAAACCCCAAACCGTAAACCCTAAACCCTAAACCACCATTCTTAGATTCTTAGGGCTCTTAGGGGCTCCTCACCCTGACCAGCCTTCTGCCTTTGGTGGGTTGGCTGGGCTTCCTTGGGCTTTCCGCCGCTGGAAGCTTTCCATTAAAGCCCGTCTCGGTTCAGGGCTTAGGGTTTAGGGTTTAGGGTTTAGGGTTTAGGGTTTAGGGTTTAGGGTTTAGGATTTAGGGTTTAGGGTTTAGGGTTTAGGGTTCAGGGTTCAGAGTTTAGGGTTTAGGGTTTAGGGCTTGCGACGAACCCTATCGCAAAACGAGGGAGTGCTCGCGGGGCCCATCAGGGCCAATCCTGGGGCTCCCCCCAGCAGAGGGCCATCTTCTGGACAGCACGAAGCAAAAACCCTAAACCCTAAACCCCTAAATCCTAGGCTCTAACCCTAAACCCCTAAACCCCTAAACCCCTAAACCCCTAAACCCCTAAACCCCTAAACCCCTAAACCCCTAAACCCCTCAACCCCTCAACCTAAACCCCTAACACCCCTAACCCTAAACCCCTAAACCCCTAAACCCCTAAACAACCCCTAAAAAACCCCTAAACCCTAAACCCCCTAACCCCTAAAAAACCCCTACCCTAAACCCCTAAACCCCTAAACCCCTAAACCCCTAAACCCCTAAACCCCTAAACCCCTAAACCCCTAAACCCCTAAACCCCTAAACCCCTAAACCCCTAAACCCCTAAACCCCTAAACCCCTAAACCCCTAAACCCCTAAACCCCTAAACCGAACCCTCAGAGCCCCCTTGCAAAAGCCCTACAACCCCTACAACCACAACCTGCAAGGCTCCGAATCCGGAAACCCAGAAAAACCCTAAACCCTAAACCCTAACCCTAAACCCTAAACCCTAAACCCTAAACCCTAAACCCTAACACAGGGCTGCGGACCAGAGGATGGCGCTGGAGGAAGCAGAATCGCGCTGGGCCTGGGCTTATGGGGCTTGTGGGGCTTATGGGGCTGATGGGGCTGATGGGGCTGATGGGGCTTATGGGGCTTATGGGGCTTATATGGGGCTTATATGGGGCTTATATGGGGCTTATGGGGCTTATGGGGCTTATGGGGCTTATGGGGCTTATGGGGCTTATGGGGCTTCTGGGGCTTCTGGGGCTTCTGGGGCTTATGGGGCTTATGGGGCTTATGGGGCTTATGGGGCTTGTGGGGCTTAGGGTTTAGGGTTTAGGGTTTAGGGTTTATTTTGGGGCTTGGGGTTTAGGGTTTCGGGGGGTTTAGGGCTTAGGGTGCTTGTTTCGGGTTGGAAGGTTCCGAGTAGGAGGGGTGAAGGGTCTGGGATTCAGGGTTTTGGGGCTTCGTAGCGCTCCCAAGTCAGTCGTCAGAAGCGGGGAGGTTGTTCTAAACGAGCGTCTTGCGTGGAGCTCCTGTTCTAGCACGGAGCCTTGTAGATACCATGAAGAAGCTTCAGAAGCTGCCAGAAGATAACCCCCCCCCCCCCCACCCCCCGCCCCCAGCTGCATGGGAAACGCAGGACCTTTAAAGGTTCAGAAAAGGATCCATGGATCCTTGGAACCCCACCCCCCCCCAAGCCTGAAACCCATCCGCGCCCTGCCCTTAAGGCCAGGCCCGTGTGCAAAGAGTTAGGCCGTTTTGTTTGCATGAAGCCCTGCTAGCCCTAAGGCCCATGCACACTGTAGGGAACCATCTGGGAGTGGGCACTCGGCAGGATGCCCGAAGAACCCCAAATGACCCAAACCCTCAACTCTAAACCCCAAGCCTTCAACCCTCAACCCTTAACCACAAACCCCAATCTTCGCCGCCCCCTTCCAAAAACCCTCAAAAACCCTCAACAAAACACCCTAAACAAAAACCCTCGAAAAACCTGAAAACCCCTCAAAAACCCTCAAACACCCTCAAACACCCTGAAAGACAGTCACAAAAGCCACCTGACAACTGACAACCCCCCGTAGTCTCTGCTCCCGGGCTGGTCGACCGGTCCAACCCCCAGAGGCGGTGGAGGAATGGGGCGACGACCTCGGAGGACTCCGAGAAGGCTTTTTAAGGGGGGCCTCAAGGCGCTTTGAAAGGGTTTTTTGAGGGGAGGGGTCTAGGGTTCAGGGTTTGGGGTTTAGGGTTTAGGGTCTAGGGTTTGGGATTTAGGGTTTAGGGTTCAGGGCTCAGGGTTCAGGGTTCAGGGTTTGGGGTTTGGGGTTTTGGGGGGGTTTTGAGGGGTTTTCTGGAGTTCAGGCTTGAGGGCTTATATAGATCGTTCAGGTTGAGAGGTACGAGCTTCAAAGAGGCCTCCATCAGAAACACAGGGGCAGAGCAGGCCAGCTCCACACAAGGCTTTTTATGGTCGCGGTGCCGCCAAAAGCTCCGTGAAACAGGGTGCCAGGGCCTCCCCCAACGTTTCAGTTGAAAGAGCACCAGCGTCTCGCCAAGCCATGCAAGACATGCATATGCACTCACCAAACTCACCTCCCTTATACACCTCAACTCAGCGGACTGAACTGTGCTAGGAACCCCAAACTCAATGGCTTGAAAAGGGCAATGGCCTGAAGCGATCCTGAATTCTCAAACGAATTAGTCCTGGCTTCCGCAACTCTACACAACCTGAGACTTGGCTGTTCAAGCCCCCCCCCCCCTTTCAGATCAGTTGGAGACGCTGGCCACACTGGCGAGCATTCCAAGCGCCATTGCCGGGGCCAACTTCGTCGAGGTGGCACCACTTATGCCGCTCCCCCCGTTGGTGGTGGTCCTATTTACTGAACTTGGAACCCTAGCAACAATTATCATTTTAGCTGTTTCTTAGGAGTTGAAGTACCCCAAAATGAAAAACGATTTCCAAGCATCCCCGAGGGTCGTGGTGGTGGTGAGGTCCACGAGATCAACGATCACGCCGTCATTCAAGAAGGAGCCCGCTGTGGGGAGGCCGGAAGCGGGCACCACCATGATCTTGCTGTAGCTGGGGCTTGAGACGCTGATGCTGATGGAGTACTTTGTGGAGTCGCAGCAAGTCTCTGATGAGCTTGACTTGTAAGTCCATCCCAACATCCCCGACACGATGGCACCGCAATCGTCCACCCCGAAGACGGCGTAGGAGTCCAACATGCTCTCGTCCACGACGCCATCCAACATGTTCGGCCCGAAGGTCACCGAGCCCGTGTACGTGCCCGTGGTCGCGTCCGTGTCGGTGAAGCCGCCCGTGCCACACACCTTGCACTGGATGTAGGCCTCCTGGCCGTAGAGGTCCGTTGACAAGCCCGCCGCCTGCGGGCAGAAGAAGCTGTATGTGCCAGCAGGGATGCATTTGCCCAGGCCGCTTGTCTGGGCCGTGAAAGTCACATTGCATGTGGATCCGTAAGCAAGGTTGGTGCACTCGGAGGCAGCCGTAGCGCCATCGAACTCGGTCCCAGCCCCGTCGAAAGCGGCCGCTCCGCAGTTCGGGGCTGAGGTGGTGGTAGTGGTGGTCGTGGTGGTCGTGGTGGTGGTGGTGGTCGTCGTGGTCGTAGTGGTTGTGGTGGTCGTCGTGGTCGTGGTGGTTGTGGTGGTGGTCGTGGTCGTTGTTGTGGTCGTTGTGGTCGTTGTTGTGGTCGTTGTTGTGGTCGTTGTTGTGGTTGTAGTTGTGGTTGTAGTTGTTGTGGTTGTCGTGGTGGTCGTCGTGGTGGTTGTCGTGGTGGTTGTGCATGCGGCGACGCTGCCCATCGTCTTCACCAACATTCCGGGTGTGGCGGTCAAACCGGTTGGATAGCCTCCCCAGCAAGTCTGGGAGGAAGCCAAGCTTGCCAGCGAGAGCAGAAGCACCGAGCAAAGCCTCATCATCGCTTTGGCGGAGGCAGATGCTACAGACTACTACCTCAAGTGGCCCAGGCCAAGTTGTTTAGCCAATCTCCCTCTTGAACCACCGACAGGTCTCTCTGCATCATGCGGCTCAGCAAAAAAAGCACGTTGCCCGCGACCCTTCCCAAAAACATCCGCATCCCTTTTTTTGAGCTCTGCCTGCACGATGTCGAACGTCGGAGTACATCTGGAATCCCGAGATTGACACCCTAAACCCTAAACCCGCAAGGGGAGCTTCTCTGGGAAGCCGGCCATGTTGGAGTGCGACTTCTCCAGCAAGACCTGCTCTCTCATCGAAAGAACACGCGGCCTAAACGACGTGCCAGCGCCTTTGGTGCTTCTTGGAAAGCTGTTCGCCAAATTGTCACAAGAGCCCTCCAACCCTTGACGTAATCCCAAGCAAGGACCATGTAGGGAAAGAGCATGGTGGTTTGGGGTTTAAGGTTTAGGGGTTTAGGGTTTAGGGCTTAGGGTTTAGGGTTTAGGGCTTAGGGCACCATCTTCAAATCAGCCCTTTCAAAGCCCTTAACAAACCAACAGGCCCTGAAGCCCCTAAAAGCTCAACTGCTAAAACCCGATAAACTAAGGCCACAAACCTTAAAACCTTGAACCCTAAACCCTCCTCGCCTAGATCAAACGAAACACCACCTGAACCCTTGACTCCCTGCACCCTAAACCGTAAGCCCTAAACCCTAAACCCCCTGAGTCCCTAAACGCATTTGAGCTGGCCTTCTGCCCAAATCCCAGAACACTAAAACCCCCTGAATCCCTAAACGCATTCGAGCTGGCCTTCTGCCCCAAATCCCAGAAAAGCGCCCACTCGCTAAAGAGGTGCACCTCCGGACTCAGGGGCTTCAGGGGTTTGGGGAGTTAAAAAGCTTAGGGCTTGAAGGTGGAGTTTAGGGTTTAGGGTTTAGGACTAGGGACTAGGGTTTAGGGTTTAGGGTTTAGGGTTTAGGGGGATGTAGACCCTCTGAATAAGGTCCCTGTTTAAGAGAGCCAGAAGAGGGTCAAGAAGGGTTCCCTTTTAAGGGCCCCCCCCTTATCCTACCTAGGTTTTATTGCGTGTCTGATTGTCAATGCACCTGCCGCGCCTCGTCTGTAAGCCAAGCATTTTGAATTACATGCCTTGCTCGTGAAGCGAGATGTTGTTTAGGAAAAATCTGCTTCTCCTAGAGATAGTAGAAGATTTTGTCCAACGATGGAAGCAGCTTGGGCTTCGGTCTGCTTCAGCACGTGACGGGGTGGGGTGCACTTGGAACAGACCTGAATTGGTAGACTCACAACATTCTGCGCAGCTCTTTGTTAGAGCGATGGCTGGGAGGAAGTCCTTCCTTGCTTAATTGCCCATTTCGCGAGAAGTCACCGTTCCTTGCCTTTCTTTTCTTGCGTTCTTTCCTTTCCTTCTGTCGCGGAAGACGACATCGTTCCTCCACGAAGATGTGCCTGAGTACTAAAGGCCCTAGGGAAGGCCCTAGAGGTCCTGAATTCAGGGGCCCTTGAACAGGCCCACAAAAACCCCTTTCCAAAAAGGCGCCCGATACCTCTAAACTCTAACCCTCTTAAAGCTAGGCTTTCGGGGGCTTCGTGTTCAAGAGTGGGTTTAGGGGTTTGGGGGTTTCAGGGTTTAAGGGTTGAGGGTCAAAATGGCCCCGTTTGGCCGAGGTGGCCTCGGAGTCGGAGGACCCCCGGCCCCCCGAATCCCCTAAACCCTAAACCCTAAACCCTTAAACCCTTAAACCCTAAACCCTAAACCCTAAACCCCTAAACCCTACTGAGCTGAGAAGAACCTCAAAAGCCCTGAGCCCCTCGCAGCACCCGCTGAACCTTAAACCCTCAACACCAAACGCCTTTACAAGCCCCTAAACCCCTCTACGTAGTCTACACCCCCTTAAGCCCTAATCCCCTAAACACCCCCCACAAGCCCTAAAACGCTCAACCCTAAAACCCTTAAACCCTAATCCCCTAAAAAACCCCCACAAACCCTAAAACGCTAAACCCTAAAAACCCTTAAACCCTAAAATCCTAAAACGCTCAACCCTAAAACCCTTAAGCCCTTAACCCGAAAGCCACCTGTGCCCGAGGATCCACGAGAGTGGAGCGCTCACTCAGGCGATGCCCCGGGTGGAGGGCCCAGCGGCCCAGCCCCTCTCGCCTCAGAGAGGAGACTCTCCCAAATGAATTCTTTTAGGGTTTAGGGTTTAGGGTTTAGGGTTTAGGGTTTAGGGTTTAGGGTTTAGGGTTTAGGGTTTAGGGTTTCTGAACTTTCGGGCCTTGAGGGTTTCTGAGGGCTTCTCGATTTTTGGGTTTGGGGTTCAGGGTTCAGGGCCCCCCCTAGTAGGCGCGCGGGACCATTTTTTGGGGGGAAAGAGGGTCATAGGATGTCCCTTGTTGTGTTCACAAGAGTTGAGGGTACCTACAAGGGCCCAGCGCCTGAGCCTGCTACGGTTTAGAATTTGGGGCCTAGGAGTTTACGGGTTTGGGGGTTAAGGAGTTGAGGGGTTGAGGGGTTCAGGCCCCCAACCCCCCCGCTTTTTTAAGCCGTGCAAGCTTGCTTCAAAGCATATGAATCTTGAAACCTACATGCAAGCATTGAGTGGGGGGAGCTGCGACCCCCCCCAACCCCCGTTGAGGGATTGATTTACGGGTGTCAGGTTGAGGGGTTGAGGGTTGAGGGGTTTAGAGTTGAGGGGATTGGGGTTTAGGGTTTAGGGTTTAGGGTTTAGGGTTTAGGGTTTAGGGTTTAGGGTTTAGGGTTTAGGATTTAGGGTTTAGGGTTTAGGGTTTAGGGTTTTAGGGTTTAGGGTTCAGGCTTTAGGGTTCAGGATTCAATAGGTGAGCCCGCTGGGTCTCCCACAAGGTCATCCAGTTGGACTTCTCCTTGGGGGCTTCTCGGCTTGGGCGCGCGAACAACTGCATGTGCACTAGAGCAACCCTCAACCCTCAACCCTCAACCCTCAACCCTAAACCCTAAACCCTAACAGGCCACAGTAACGCGGACCGTGAACTTTGTCATTCTGAGGGGGATGGGGTGGTGGTGGGGTATGCAGTTCGGGTTGAGTTTGGGAAGGTACTAGATCTCTAATCTCGCCTCTTTCTTGGGGGGAGGGAAGGGAAGCCCCAAACCCTACACCCCAAGCACCAAACCCTAAACCCCAAACCCTAAACCCCCAAACCCTAAAACCCCCAAACCCTAAACCCCCCAAACCCCAAAACCCTCAACCCCCTAAACCCTAAACACTAAACACTAACTTGAAGACCCTGCTGAAGTGGCCCCTTTGAATCTATGTGCCGTCCGGCCACGGTCACTGAGGCCGGGAAAATCTTCTTGGCGGCCTTGCTCATGAACCTCCTGCAGGAGTCCGGGGGAGATTAGAGTTTAGGGTTTAGTGTTTAGGGTTTAGGGTTTAGGGTTTTGGGTTTGGGGTTTAATTAGGGTTTAGGGTTTAGGGGAACTCCAAACCCCAAACCCCAAACCCTAAACCCTAAACCCTAAACCCCAAACCCCAAACCCTAAACCCTAAACCCCAACCTCCAAACCCCAAACCCCAAACCCCAAACCCTAAACCCTTAAACCCCCTTAAGCCCAGACTCAGCTTGCCTCCCCACCTGCCCCCCTTTGAAAGACTGCGGCATCTGGGACCCCCGAAACCCTCTGAAGCCTTCAAGGGGTCGGCCGGCAGGGGAATTCTGGGTGCGGATGTCCAGAACATGAACTGCTTGTGTTCCAGGCCGAACTTTGGGTAGACGGACTGAAGGAAGATGCCTGGCACCGAAGGAGACTCCTACTCAGAGCACGTCTGTGCCGACGAGTCTTAACTTTGATTACTAGGAGCTTGGGATGGCTGCGACAAACACAAGGCCAACCCTGCCAGAGGAAGAGCTCAGCCGGGGTTTAGGGTTTAGGGTTTAGGGTCTAGGGTCTAGGGTCTAGGGTCTTGGGTTTAGGGTTTAGGGTTTAGGGTTTGGTCTTTTTTTGGGGGTGCACCGGGTTCCTTTGCGGAGCATGGGCCGACTTGGCACCCTTCTTTAGGGTGTTTCAACGCCCGAACTCTTGCTGCCATGGGGCCATCGTTGGCGATGTCGCTCACCCAATGGGCCTGTGGCTTTCGCATAGGGGGCAACTCAAAGATCTCCAGGGCCGAAAAGCTTGAGACTGGCGCGTCTGGGACTTGGGGTTCTTGGGTCCTTTTGGTATGCTGGTTCCAGCCTAAGTTTGGGTCTGTAGGTCGAGGGCTCAGGGTTTAAGGCTCAGTTCAGGGTTTAGGGTTCAGGGGGTTTGGATATGCCCTGGATCCAAGGAGAAGATTTGGCATACAGTTGCTTGAACCGCGAGTCAAGGGAATTACTAAGGCAAAGGAGCAATCCAACAGCAGCCGCCTCTGGGGACTTGCACCGTACAATGGATGTCGGCATAGCCGTCATGGAGTCCGTATAACGATTGTGGCATCTGCAAAGCGACAAGTGTGGCAGTTTCCCGGCCTACCATGAGGAGAGCCATTTAGTCACTCAAAAGAAGGTAAGCATGTGAGCCCGCCCCCCCAAGTAGCGTAGCTTCGTCCATAAGCTCGAGTTGCACAGGGCCAGCTACGCAAAGAGAACGTACCATTCCCAGCAAACTGCGGGGAAGCATCATGGAAAGAGAGGGCGCCCTGCTGTGCCTCAAGCTTGCTTGAGAATATCTTCCCGCAAATTCAACCCCCCAAAATTCTACATTTTTCCCGAAAAATGTCAGGGCCAGCTTGCTTGCTTGTCCAACTTGAACCGAACCCGAAGATCCCAAACTCCCCACAAGGAAACCCTCAACGTAAAAAACTTCCCCGACACCGTGAAACCTAAACCCCCAACCCTAAACCCTAAACTTATCATACACCCTGAGCCCGGAACCCTGGACCCTAAACCCTAAACCCTACCCCCGAAACCCTAAACCCTGTAGAAGAGGAGACGAAGGAGTCGAGGCTCACGCTTTGCGGCGGTCGGCG